TGCTCCTTTCAGCATGTTTCTTATCTTGCCACTTCCAGTGCAGTTGTTTTGCTTGGCTGCCAGTTGTATTTGCTTCTTTAGATCTTCCTTCTTCTGCAATGCTAACTTTAAACTGTGTCAGTTCTTTTCTGAGATTGGATGCACCAAGTGTTTGCAAGTAAGAGCATAAAACATTCATCTTCATATTGAAGGATCTCTAAGCCATTTGAATTATCTTCTTTAATGGTAGAAGGATGTTATATTTTTGCACTTTCGGGAAACAATGTTTATTGTGTTAAATTTTCAAGTAGAATCATATGAGAGAGCATTTCAAAAACAAACAAGCATGTCCCAGTTGTTTTTATAGAAGTGTGTCAGGTACTTCATAGACTGCTATACCAGAAATTTCTGTTTCAAATATAAGAAAAGAACATGTAAAACCACATGAAGTATGAGGTGTGACAAGAAGTAGGAGCACCTTCAGTCAAATCCTAACTTTGCTGAAGTGACTGAAGAGTTTTGCCATCAATTCCAGCACAGCAACGACTTCATCTGTGTCATGACAGCACTTGAATATTTTTGTAAAAGCTTTTTTTAGTGCTGAATTCTCTATTCACATTTGTTGTCTTTCCACTAACCTCAGTTTCACAGAGCACTGTTGACTAAAATTGCCTTCTCTCATCAAAAAGCTACATGAGGAATTACTTAAATTTTGATGCAAGTGGACAAAGCTCAGATTTTTTTGTCCCTGAGTGCTGAGTGGTTGGGAATGGCACACATCAGACTGAGTCCACACTATCCTGCTCAGTCCAGAGCTACTGTCCTGGAGGGAAGAAGAAAAAAAAAATTGTTCTCCCTAAGGCATTTGATGCATTCAACCTATTCCAACCCTAAATTTAGCACCAACCTTGATCTTTTTTTTATTAGATTGGAGTGTGATAGCTTTTGTCTTTGTGTCTGGTTATCCAAGGGGTGAGGAGTAGAATGCTGCTGTGGGAAAAGGGCAGCTTGCCCAAAGGTTGCTGCAAGAGGGTGATGAAGGGTGCAGAGGGGCTGCCTGTCTGGGAGAAGGGAAGGCAAGGGACAGGGAGCCTAATTCTAGTCCCCACAGCTGCTCCAGCTGGGAATGTGTAGGATTTATGGGCAAATGGCTCCTCTGAAGTCACAGAGCAACCATACCTGGCATGTGCAGAGTCCAGCTTTCCCACATACACACACTAGTTACACATGGTAAGTGTGACCTCTTTTGCAGGTACTGGACCAAATACATGGGGTTTTTATGAAGTTATGGATGGAAATACGGGAGTCCTACTCAAGTGGTGCAGCAGTGCACCACCAGGAGCTGTAAGCCTTGAGCTGTACAGCATCAGTACAGCATCAGTACAGCATCTCCTTTGCTGACACAGGCTCTTGAGATTGCAGTGAAAATGTGTGGCATGGTAAAAGCTGTGAAGAGTGCCTGTGCCCTGGTGCAGCACAGTCAGTGATGGCAAGACAGCAAAAGTTGAGGGATGCCATATAAAACAGACCTGGCAAAATATTCCTTGAGAATGCAGATGCCTATTCTTAAATTTGTGTGAAAATTTAAAGAAATGTGCTATAAGAAGGAGCAGTTGAAAGGAAGGAAGACCAGAATAAAAGGAGTTTGAGGTTTTTTGTTAAGGCAGCTACACAACAAAAGATTCCAAAAAACTTCATATAGTTTTAGTGATTACCTAGAGTTAAGTAAAATTCTTTTGTAATTAATGTTTACTATGCTTTTTTTGCCTTAGTGGATTGGGAGACCTCATACTTAATGATTTCCTTTCTGCAGCTGAACATGTCAGTTCTATGGTCCTCTGGGGTGTCATGTGCAGCACCAGTGCTGATGGGAGCCAGAGCCTCCCCCTTCAGCTCCCTGTCAAGAGCTTCTAAAAACTGGATGTGATGTGATTAGGAAAAGGAACCTTAGGAGGAACAAGTTGTGACTTGCAGCTGAGCAGCCTCTGAGCTGCAGACCTACACCTAAATAGGCACAACTCCTCAATATTAAAACTAGGCCATCTTGTTGCACTGGAGATGTCCTCAGCTGAAGTGCAGACATGTCTGTGCATGATGACATTAGTAAAGATGGACAGAATTTTTAGGTAATGTTACCAAATGTAAATTATCTCTGTTTTTCTGACTAATTAGTCAAAAATGCTAGAAATATTGCAACAAATTGAAACAATTCATTTCAATGTTTAAAAAATCCACTTTTTTGTGTTACTGCTCACAAAAATAATTGCCAAAAGTTTTGTTTCAGCTATGCCCAAAACAGTTTCTCCCATTCCTTCTCCTCAGCTTCTTGGAACAGTTAGGAAACAAAACATGAGTTTCTACAGCTGTAATCACCAGAGATATTATAGAGCATATTTTGACTCCTTCAGCAATTGGTTTGCCTGATGGCTTGTTCGCCTCCACAATAGATAACTTAATCCATCTGGCTAGGAATAGCCTGGATGGATTCTTGAAAACTCTGGCACTGACAACATTTTTATTGAAAGGGAAGCATTAATTGTACTTGGATTATCTTCCAAAGTAATTGACACACTACTTGCTTCCAGACAGATGTCATACTCTAAAGGCTTGCTCTTCCAGCTGCTCTTGGTATAGCTCATAATATCAAGAAGACAACAACAAATCGAAGGGCCCTTCAAATATTCCAGAATTTTTTTGTGGTAATATGCAACAGGATTTTCATGACAGTGCTACATGTTACCATCTTTAGAGCTGAAAACCAGTCTCTGGATTTTTCAAAGCAGTGGAAAAAAAAAACCCTTAAGAACCAGATCTTAGTCGGTGTGCACAGAGGAGCCCAACACATCTGGACTGCCCAACACAGGTGCTATGTCTGTCTACTGTGGAGTCAGAATTGCTGAAGGCTTATTCTTTATAAGCTGTAATGGGAGGAATTTTAGAAGCATTGTGGAGTTCTTAACCCAAAAGTATATTTTGACTCATTAAGCAATTGGTTTGCCTGATGGCTTCTTCGCCTCCACAATATATAAAGCCAAAAGTTCTTAACCCTTCCAGCATGAAAGGGCATGATATCTGTACTGTTCCTCTAGCAGGTGCATTAAGCAACCCTTGACTAAGTTTTGAACCATTGAATGGTCTGGATATTAACATGATAGTTGTGCAAAGCCATGGGTGAGAGCACTTAGTGACAATGTTAGGTGCCTTTGGGGAAAAAATGCAATTCCAAGCTTCTGTTCTTATCTTGACAATATAAGCCAAACTGAAAGTGGCTGCAGAAGCAGTTAGTTAGTTACAGATGAAGCCCTCTAGAAGCAGGAAGGGTCCCAGTTACTTTGGAAGACCATCCAAGCACAGTTAATATTTCCTCCTGGATAATTATGCTGTATCTGTGGAATATAGCCTGAGGCTGAATGAAGAATGGGTTCACAAGAGTAGGTGAATGGGATGCCAGCACCATTTCCATCTCCTTTGATAAGCTGGGTCTTCTGGTCAGTGTGAAGGCAGAACCCAGCTGCCCCTGGGCTTACCTCTCTAGAAGGAGAAATCAGGAAAAAGTGTGAAGCCACCTACATGCAAGATTTACCCCATAACTTAAAATCTAGTTTACATAGATGGTGCTTCAGCATATTTCTCTCCTTTCAACCGGTGAAACAGACTGACTCCTGAGATACTTCTACTGAGCCACCAGACGTGGTTCAGACACCATTCTCCACTGTTAGCCGTGAGTCTGCTGCAGTCTGCCTTCTGATTTTTCCCTCCCTTAAGGTCGTTCATGAAAACAACACTCTCCTCTGCTCATTTCATCATTTTTGCTCTTTCTAGGCATAGGCTTCAACCTTAAGCTTCTGAGCTTGTTCGTGAGCCTGCTTCCTTTTGCATTTTTGTGATGATGATTGAAAACAGGAGTGTTTCTATTTGCTGAGCAGCAAATCCATCTCCAAAGGCATAGTGAAAAAAAAACAGAAGGGACTGTTTTGATGTGAATGTGACATCTGTCACTATCTATCAATCATATTAACTCTTTCTTCAAATAAGCATCGATGTATTTGAGTCTTGCAGTCCAGAGATGTGACCAGATACTGATCATGGAATCCAATGGCAGTTTGAAAACATCATCATATCTAGTAAGACGTGTAAAACTCCTTGAAAGACATGCAGAAGATAGCAGTCTATAAATCCTTACTGTGATGTCCATCAAAGACATTTTAACCCCACAGAAATTAAACTGCTCAGCAGTTCTGCAGCTGTAAATAAGGAAGCATCAAACCCTAGCCCTAAGATAACTCCTGTCTTTTTGTTCATTATGATATTTTGGAAATAACTTCTGTTCTGAATGACTTAGATAGTCATACTACTGTAGCATCCACGGTGGTATTTTTGAAATAAAGTTTTTTTGAAACCATGCAATTAGCTTGATGCCTGCCTGCTTGCCTTCCCTTCTCAAGCTAGCCATAGTCATCTTCAACTTCTTCAAAAAAGAGGGCACAGCAGATTGACCTTCCAAAGTCAGGTTTGTCCACAGCTTTTCATCTAATACTTTATGTGGTTGGAACCATAGGTAGATGCCACCTTTCTGTTGACAGTATTTGATTTACTGTATTTTTTTCCACTAGGTAGGTCACTTGAATCTCTCTTGCTAGGGCCTTGAACCTCTACATGTTTCAGCCTGCAGAAAAGAGATTTCTTCAGAGGAGTCCTTCCAGCTCCTGGTGGTGGGAAAGCCAGTTTGCACAGACACCTTAATGTCTTCTCCAGAAACAAAATACCCAAATCATCTTTCGTAAAACCCTTTTGTTTAAAAAAATGTCCATGTGTGAGTCCTCTGACCCAGAATGGGGTTTTTTTTTGTTACCAGAAGCAGATGGATATATCCTGCCTTAGAACATTCACCTGGAAGGTAGCTTCTAGTCTTTATTTTAAATCAAGTAAGTTAGAGACCTAAAATTAAGTGCCCAGATATTACTATGGCCTGTCTTTAATTATACTTTTTGAGAAAATGTTTTTGCTAATTAGAATTGCTACCTGATAAGCACCTCCATGAGCTACTGCCATTTTTCTAAAAGGGATCTGGATGCTTTTGCTGTATACAAAGAGTTGATCTGTTGTAAAGTTCTACTCATGGCCAAGGTGTCCATCCATGAAATTCTCAAAAGATACTGCTTAAATTTTCTGTGGCAGAGTTAGAGCTTCTCAGAAGTGTCCAAAACAGCGGGGGGGAGGAGTAATTCACCAAGGACTAAACTATGGGAGAACACTGTTGATTTAAAAAATCTTTTGAACTATCGTAAGAAATATTTTAGGGAGGAAGATTTTTAAGAGAGTAATATGGAAGTCGTTGTCCTTACTACTCAGTTCAGTTGCTGTCAAATACTCAGTAATTGTTTTATCGTATCTGATTTCAGGCCGATGGAGGTAGAGAGAGACTGTCAGAACAGCAGTACAACCGCCTGGTGGAGTACATCACAAAGACATCCTACCACCTCGCTCCCAGCACCTCCACAGTGCCAGCACTGCAAACCGTGGCTGCTGAACAGCCCCCAACTATAACTAAAACCTATCAGTACATAGTTGATCCAAATTTTGCACAAGTATTCATTAGCAAATTCACCATGGTGAAAAACAAGGCCTTGAGGAAAGGATTTAATTAGTAGTTATTTGTGTTGAGTATAGTAATGCCATACCAGTGTGAAAGTAATGCTTTCTCTGCAGTAACCTACATCAAGTAGAGATGCATATAATTTTTGAGGAGGTAGAAATTCATAACAAAGCCCAATAGCTTTTCTAATCTTAACAACATTCCTGCTCTCTAGCCAAAATACTAGTGCTGGAAGGAAAGTGTTCTGGCAAATGAATAAAGTGAGAAGGAACAGCCTTGGACTATAGCTCAATCAAAATCCCTTTTCTTTTCAATAACCAAAAATTAGAGAATAGGGGAAAACTGCGTGCATACAGACATTTGTGCCACACACACAAATGTCTACCAATACCTCTATATCATCTTTTAGGGTCTGCCAGTTTCTGTTATAAACCAGGTTTATAACTCAGCTGTAAAAACTTGCTCAAGGCTGAGCCTTTCCCCCCACACCCACACTCCCCCAACATGTGCATCCTGAGGCAAAACATTTTCCCCCACTAAATCTGAAAAACCCAGTGTGGCTGTTTTAAGTTACTAGTGACAGCTGGGTTTTAGCACCACTTTAACCTTAAAATAGCTTCCTTTATTTGACTGAAGTTTTGCAGGACATTAGTCCGTAATGTAAACTAGTGCCTTTGTGTGGTTTGGAGGACAAAACATGACCTACAACATGAATTTATTTTTAAAACTGTCTGTATACAGAAACTTTATTTTATCCACCATCAAATTTTCAGAAGTACTTTCAATGTGTGTATGACTGTGCATTGTCTGGTCGTTAGCTGGAAGTAACATGCAGTTCGAAAATTTAAGAAACAGAGCTGTCTCCTTAAAATCCATAAGCTCAATGTAACCCAGATGTGCAGGTGCTAAGTACAGCCTTGTGGGGTCTTGCTTATTTCTGATCTATGTTGTATGTGCTCCCTTCAGCCCTAATTCATTTTATGCTTATAATCTTGAAACAGATAAAACCAGGAATATTTAGAAACATGACGTTTCAAATATGTACTAAGCAAAGTGAGATTTCTTTTTTTCCAAATTGATTGAAAACTATGGACCCACAGGCACATTAATAGTTAATGATACCATCACAATACACTTACAAATATATGTTAAATACCTGTATTTCTTGTTGTAGACAAGAAATCACTGTCTCTGGGCACAGTTAGATGACTTTATAAACCAAATCTGGCTATGGCAGTTTTATTTTAAAACTCAAAAGCTTACTTGGTTTTCAGCTATGCATGTTAACTTTTCTCCCCTTTTCTGTGTGCTTACGGACATGAATTTGTCCAGAGATTCCTGAATATGGCTGGAGTCAGAGACAAGAACTGGAATAAAATCTGATCACCATTTGGAGCATACGCTTTAGAGTTAGTAACTTCTATGCATACTTGATATGACCAAATGCACAGTAAATAAAAGAATGTAGTAACTGCAATGTTTTTCATGTGAGTTGTTTTGTTAAAAGATATTTCTAAAAGCCGTGTCTCTCATGTACTGGGAATACTGGGGCCTGGGGTCTGCATTATCCTTTTCTGACTGTGAAATAAGCCCATCCATTATCAACATTTCATACAGTGGTTTAATAACTTAGTCATTGTTTAAATAACACTATTTAAAAAATCTATATGTATATACACACCCATGCTTTGTTCCTGAATATTTTATGGAAATTGTTTAATATTTCTAATTTTGCATTTTGATGGATAAATTGTAATATAATGGAATTGTTTAAAGATAATAAAGCTATTCCTATAATACTTGGGTTTGTGAGGTGTTTGGTCATTCAGTTACAAGATGCAGAACAATGACAATACTGACGTACAAACTTCATGTGGACCCCATTAGATTCCAGTTGGTCTGGTCTGGACTTTGTAGTGTACCAGAAAATGCAATAGATCATGACAATGCTTTGGAAGCAAAAACTGATGATTAGATTGCCAAAAAATGTGTACTGAAAAGTTATATGCTTTTGTGACAGAATCAAAACAGTACTGTAGTCACCATTTGAGTTAAACCAATCTGTTCCTTATTTATGGAATACACAGACAAGCCAAGGGGATGCAAACACACCTGTAAAAAATGAGGGACAGCAGTTTCATTTCTAAAAGTTTGTAGATTTCAGCCATTATTTAAAATACATTTGTTTTTCCTGAATTACAGTCTCCTGGAATAAACACTTGCTTAAATTACACTTTTCTTCAGTGAATTGAGCTGCATCTTTACTGCATTAGACAGGTTCTTTCTCCCCCTTCTAACCACATGTATGGAAACGAGTGGAGACGGCACATAAATCAGCCTCTCCTACATATGAGCTGCGTGAACTATGAAAACAAAGTTGTCCAAAGAGCAGCTGCCTGTACTTAGCTGCTAAAGCACTGCAATGTGTACTCTTAAAACATGCCTACTCTCATAATGCTCTTTAGACCTGGAGAGCTCACAACTTCAGATCTATCTTTTTAGTTTGCTTCCAGAACAATCAATCACTCCTCAAACACTCGAGAATAAAGCAAGCCAGCCAAAAAATTTGAAGGCATGGTCAGGCTTATACACAGAAAGACCTTTCCCAAAGTAGTTTAGGTCAAATAACTCCTTTTTATATATTATTTCATACATAAATACAGCAAAAACCTTTAGACAGTTGGGATGGTCTCAGAGCGGACAAGCATGTTTTTTCAGCCCTGCATCTCCTAGAAACAGCATGCCAGACCCTGTAACAAGCAACTGATTAGGGTCTTATTCACAGGTCTTGTACTATGCTAAGTCCCACTCCCATTCTTTGTCAGATAGAATTAGCTGAACTCTTGCTGACAAAGGCAAAAAAAAAAAAAGAAAAAAAAAAATTTTTTCCCCCCAAAATGCCCACTTCCCGTTTGTTTTTTTTTGTTTTTTTTTTTTTTTTTTTTTTTTTTTTTTTTTTTTTTGTTTGGACAGTGGGATACTGCCACTCTTTAGCTATGAGTGCAATGAAGATAAATAATGAAATTAT